GCGGTGTGAGCGTGTAGTCTGCAAACTGGCAACCACCCACAACTAAACATGGTACTTCCCCCACCTATTTCCTTACTCCGTTCGTACACGTTTGATCACCACGAGCTTTGCTTCTCCATGCCCCGCCATCTACCTTGCCTGAAAGACCGCGACGTCGGATAGTGGTGCTTGTTGTTTGGTTCGTGGACCTTGAGACTACGCTTTATCGATCAGTCACAAGCTTGCGCACATGTAGACGCCACGACTGTGGGTACCTGTGCATTGTTTTGTCCCTTTTTTCACCTGTGTGTAAGCAGCACCCTAGACATTAGAACCCGATTCTTCCTTTTGATATTCGGGATCACCAAAGCTACGCATGAGTCGCAGTTCCGTGCTCATTACACTCAGTACAGATACGCTCATAGATAAAGCTCAGAGTAGTCCAGTTGAGAGTCATTCGGGCCTCCAGCTCCTGCCATTTTAATCTGCGAATGGGTGTATATTTCCACTTCTGTGTAAGGACTTGGAGAACATGCCTACCTGATAACTTTTTCGGGGCGAATTTTTAGTAGACAGCTGAAGAGCCTTCGGCGAACCGGCAAATAGAGCTCTCTCAAGAAATCTCTTGTTTGCACTCATTCGTTGTGCTCTCCTAAGAGAAAATACTTCACGTGGCTGTGCTTTTCGCAATTTGCTCCAACAACTTGCACAACGTGAAACCATCCTTGGTATAAGAAAACTTGGACGAAATATCAGTCTGTTTTTTTTTAAGGGTGAAAGACTTCATTCGTGTGAAGAATGGGTGCCTGTGCGCTGTCAATAGTACTGAGCGAAAATACGTAATATGCTTTCTTTTGAGCGGAAACGCATCAAGCACAACTGTGACGCAGGCTGTCATGCATGACTATATCTATTATCTTGCCTCAGACATTGAAGGACAGAATGAAACCACGGTATTCTCAGCATAACAAAAGCTGATCAGATGAAGACGCATGTTTTGTGCTTTTGGTCGTGTGAAACAAAGGAACTGATTTTTCTTTTCTTCTGGTTTTGCCCTAGTGCGCATTCCAAAAAAATATAGTACATCCACATATGATAAGAAACTCAGGTTTTGTAACAGGTGCATAGTGTGTCAAATTTAATTAGTTGGGCACAACGCTTACTTGAGCCGAGTGTTCCCTGTATACGTGGAAATAGTATAGGGATCGGAGCGTAGGTGGTGGGTGGTCGAAAATCATTTATCCCACCTTGCTGCGGTTCATGCTTCACTCGTCGCGCCGGGTGACGATGCAGACCGAAGCGTGACCAGAATGCGTATGAGGGACATTTCTGTTTGAAAGAATGCCGTTCACAATCTTCAGCCGAATGAGGTGGGTTTCTTGTTGTTGCAGCTAGGCTGGTCTTGTACACATTCTCGGGGTGGGTTCTGTGCCCAGACGGCACGTGCTCAGCAATTCTCAGCCGGCGACAGCGAAATACAACAAATAAAATAAAGATTAGTACAAGAGCAGCCAACGTAGCTGTTACCATGGCAATCAGAGTTAAAAAGTCTGATGGTACAAGCAGTCCACGTTGGCCATATTGTTCTTGATCTCTTGACCACTTATGCTGCTTGTGTAGGTCAAAAATGCTTCTAGAAAGTAACAATTTTTCCTCCTCAGAATTTCCGAACCGTCTGGTTTGTTCGCGAGCCTGAGGCTGCACTGATAGCTCAGAATCTGGAGTTGATTGCGACTGTTGTATGATTATATCCAATACAGACGAAGAAGATCGTGGAGGGGTTCCACAGTCGGACGCTTGAACATAAAGACGCAACATTGTTGGGGAAGCTGGAGTCCATTTGTCTGAAAAATGATTCATCTTACTATGAAGCTGTGGCTCACTCGATTGACGAGGAGATGTCGCCGCTCTTTTGTGTTTCAGCGACTGAGCCAGATAGATCCAACCGCTATTTGCATCCAGTTCAAACTGACCACCCTCATCACCGCTGAGTATGGAGTACAGCACCAAGCCTCGCGGACCTTCGTCTGGATCAAAGGCAACAAGCTGTCAACAAAAGAATAGACAGACGTACTCGATCAGCCAATACTATATTCGTTCTATGAAGAATGTATTTCCACCTTAAGGAAAACTCATAAAGATGCACAATTCCCAAAAAAGAAATCTAGTAGTCACCAAGACAACAGTAAACCATTCCTTACAAACCATCCAGGAGCTAACAGATTAAAGATCACTCATTTTCTGTCTAATTTGCCGTGGAAAGTACGGAGATTATCGTATTCTGTTTCTTACTGGTCGTTCATCTGAACATGAGGAGCGCTTTGCCCACCGAATAGGACCGCTTCCAAATGGCACACACTATTTTAGACCAGGTTGCCGAGGACCTTGCCTTGTTTTTAGCCAGGTGGGGTAGGTGGGCAGATTTCACCAAGTCCTGTCTGAATGCCATTACCTACCTGGTTGGTTATTTGAAAAAATGCAAAGCAGAAAACAAAATGGCAATTAAATGAAAGCATTTTACAATTGTCTCGATGGTCGCATAGTTAGTGTGATAAAATCTTAGAAATGAATGAATTTTTTTACTCGGACTGACCTGCATGAACATGATTAAGGATATTCATAGATTGTCCGTAGAAGTCTGATTGAGTAGGGTAAGACGCGTCACATGTAAAGATCCGGGAAAAGTCAAAAGGAAGCACGTACGCGTGCAAATAAGGCACGCCCAGAAGAATAAACACATTTCATCCAAGCAGACGAAAGTCACTTTCAAGCAAGTTGAGCTATACAATAGTGTAAATCGACGGGTAACGTACAACTGTACGGAAAATGGCACGTTAAAGTAGAAAAATGAATAAACAGGAAATAAGTTGCCTCAGTCGTTATTAGATTGCTCCAGATGGGTGGTTCAAATAACGCCATTTTTCGCTCACCCCCAGATATTTTCAGCAGTTCGAATGGAAAGGACGTTCTGCACGGTGTGTCTTACGAGGAGAAACGAAAAAGCAATATGCAAAATGTCATTTGCACGTACCTAGAGAGGTTGCAGGTATATTTGGGAGCAGATGAAATCAGATAAATGTGTCTAAAACTGAGCAGTGGCAATTGGGAAGGGAACAGCTGAACAAAAATGCAGATTCACCGGCACTTCTGAAATATTTAGCTGAGTGAAAGGTCCGAAAATCATCCATATAACGAGTGGAGACAAATGGAGCTAAAACTGCCTTTTAAGAATACCGAGTTTACCGAGAAGGGTCAGACTGCGCCACAACACAAAATGTACTATAGTTTTCCGCTTGTTGGACTGATTTGAAGGACCTAGAAGAAAGCATATGGGAGGAATCATGTCTCACTACCCCTTCTGTAGTTTTAGTGGAACTGAAGAAGTAATGGAACTTTGCTTGTCGTTTGCCTCGAGAGCAAGTTGTTCTCTAAGGTTCATTTGTATGAATGTTAGGAAAATTAATATTTTTACTGTCTAGTGCAGTGTAAATAAAATTCAGTCGACAAGATTTGAGCGAACTTATCAAATACTCTTGAGATCACAAAGGAAGTCTTCATTTAGAGGAGGGATGAGTCCGGAAGAATTCGAGGGTCTAATAAAATCATATAAAAACCGTGTTTTAGAGATCCAGCAACCAGCAGGGCACCTTATTGCCAAGATCCCATGCAAGTAAAGTCAATACTAATCGACATACCTTTTAATGAGATCGGGCTCACTAGGCGAGGATACAAGTTTCAGTCCCTTTATTTGCTGTCGAAACTTGGATCAAATCCACTTATGGGATTACTCCTCCCATGCATGCTTCTCCTCTCCGTTTGAGAGAAACGGAGCTAATCAATTTGGTGCGAATGAAGAGCATTTATCAAGGGCAAAACTAGCCTTATAACCTGGAAGTGTAATAGAAAAAGTCCAGAGTGAACGGGAAGGTGTCTCTACCGAAGCACGTTGGTTCCCCTGAGGACCAACAGGCTTTTATCGAAGGTTTCAACAACGGCATACTGTCTCGAGTGATGCGGCGTTCTAGAAAATTCTGTATTCAGGAAGTGTCGAAGAAGAATAAGAATGCACCATTAGAAGGGGAAAAAAGACAGAGTATTGATAAATATGTGACATTCCATCTTAACCCCAAACCAGACATAATAGACCTGAAAAGAGAAGAGATCTTATACTTATCCTACAAAGGTCAACCCATCCCCAGGACAAAAGTAGCATCAGTGAGATAGGGTTATTCCAGCACACTTGGCGAAATTTGGAGGCAACGCACAAACTAGTGTTTTATGAAAACTAAGTAGGAAAATTCACTACTATCACAACGGTGAAGAAAGCTAGGTAAGTGCTGTCAGATCTGAGTGAACCTAAGTGAGGAAACCCCCAGTGGGTGTGTTCTCCATCAAACGACCAAGCCGAGAACTACTGTAAGAAGCAGTTAATAAAGTGGTATTACGGTCGCTATTCAACCACAATTTTTGCATTTCTGCCCCGCAGGTAGTGGGATGAGTTTATTTTTTTGGAACCAGGGTTAACACATCACCACCCGTAAAAATCATCGCAAATTCGAATTTTAACAAACGGATGAAATTTCACAAAAATCCTCTAACCATTGTTAGTCAAGTGAAACAAATTTTCAGCAAAAAAATATGATAGAGTGATGAAACCGAATAGGATAAATTTTGAATTTTTTGCTCTCGTCCAAAGGATGACGGTAACACAGAAAGTGAGCATGACATCTGTCAGTATTCAGTACTTTTCTGTAATGCAAACCAAGCAACACATTAGAAAGTTCAAAACAACTAAAATGAAACACCGAATATGAAGAAAAAGGTTTCTTGTCAACTTCACTTGGTTTTCTACTGTGAAAGAACGGTGGGTAGCTTCAGCTCAGGTGTTGAATTATTTTGTCCCCCTAGTGTCTAACTTAAATCAAGTGTTCGAACTACTTTAGCCTCGGAGCACTGCAGCCATCAAGTTATGGTACAGGTTCAATGTGGACGATCAATTATTTTCACTTAGATTGTGAACCAAAAATATGAAAACGGTGAGTAAGGATTATTAACCTATGCTTTGATACCTACCTAACTTAGAGTAAGTAGAGCTGAATAAAGTGAAATGTCCGAACCAATCTGTCTGATGATGCAAACCATTCGAATATGCTTCGCGGAGACTCCAAGTTTTGCAAATTAGCCCAGAAGTCTGATGTCTACACTTTTTAAACAACTGCCCTCACCTGATAAACAGGCCGCCTGTTCTCAATCAACTGAAGACGGGTTAACAAACGAGAGGCACCTAAACTCAGAATAGATGAGACGCACTCATTTACAGAACTGTCAAGATCCTGATGTTGTACTGCTTAACAATGGAATCGGATTCCGGACATGGAACTAGCTGTTAGGAGTTAAGTCCAAAGAAAATGGTAATTTTCACATGGAGATGTCGGTAAAAAGCGTTGTTGTTGCGAAGGTGAATCTTTGATGTCAAACTAAACTGACGAAGGGGTGGTGTAGATTGAAATAAAGTATATAGCTTCCAGAGTTGAATAAAGAGGTTCCATATACAGGCGCAATCCAAAACGTTGGTTGATTCTTATCAAACTCCAATAAAAACAATGCCCATACCACCGAAACGGTATGTAATTGTCATGTGACGGATTTTCTGGTGTCTGTGTGTTTCCCCACAAACTGTAGAGTATTGTATCAGCGATTGTCGACGCTGGACGCGTCATTCCCATTAAAACGTCCTTGCAGAAGTCGTTCACTTGATGGGCACCCGAAACTCACCATGCTTAAGCTCAAATGAAGCACACCCATCTTATGTGACGTGCAGTTCAGATGCAAAATTGAAGCTTCCCTTCAGGATATAGATTTGCCGCTCTCATTTTACTGCCACGCGGTAGTCTTATTTGAGTACTACATGACCACGCAGCTAACCGAATTTAAGCTCTAATGCATACGCAAATTCTTCGCGTCGCTGGTTCAGAAGCACTTCGAATGGAATGCATTATTACAAGTGAGCATACTCTGATGGATAGTTAGTTACCAGCTGGAGCTTTATAACAAACAGCAGAAACATGCACCGAGAGAAGGAGTCTCTGACAACTTTAGTTCCAGCTATGTAGCGCCTGATATATAGATGTAACATAAAAACTAAATTAAGTGCCTGTTTTAATTTACCACTAGTGTATGCCCGGTGTCATCATCCAATGACCAACACCAGCTGTAGACTTATGGATTATATGTATACATTATATGGATACATTATATGGATGCTCAGTACTACACTGATGGCGACCCTAGGAAATACTGATATGACATTATAAGAGAGAAGTGAGTTTGAACGCTGAAATGTAAAGAGATTAGCAGTCATTAGTAAGCATGCGTTGGGTCCCATTATCATTTAGTACCCTCACAATCATGCTTAGGCCCGTTAATCCGTGTCAAATTGATCGTGGTTGTTTGCCCGTAATCTTATTCCCTCAGGCCCACCTAGCTACGAATGGCATGCGGGCAGAACCGAATTGAGCACCAAGTAGGCTGGCTGCAATTAACCTACTACGTACATCGCTTAGCAGGTCAAACAGTATTAATTGGTAAGTCCATTCAGAATGTCAGTAATTCATTAGTGGTAAGGTCTTTGGTTATCTTTCTCGAGATATCCTAGTGGTGAAAATAAATGACAGACAGCCATCAACCTAATTACGAACTCGAGTGACTGAGATTCTATCTATTTAACATGCTGGTAAATAGAACAGAGTGTGATCTTTATTTCAAAGGACAAATGAATTGTACCATAGAGGTGTCCAGCTGCAAAACCAAACGTGAGCCTAATCAATAATTTGAGGAATGTGGCAGGTCTTATTCCAAGTGCTGGCAAGATAGTTGCGTAACAGCTTTGTCACAAATAATCAGAATGGATAATGTCATATGCCGTGCAAAAATTCACTGACAAAGACTTTAATCTGACGCGTCAGAAACTGCATACACATTTATCCCTTTAGAGAGGTATTCTAGGAGGGGTACCCAATTTTATTGGTCCCTCAAAGGACAGTCTAGTTGAGATTACCATTCAGAAGAGACCAAATTTAGTTGGTCAACTCAGGTGGCCTGTTTAGAGTAGAACAGTTCCATTAGTCTCTAGGTTGCACACATATCGGAGGGTCTGACTCCAAAAGCCGATTCAGGGTGGCTCACAACATAATAGAGAACAAATTTTAAGGTTATTTGCTGTACAGTTTGTACAAAGAACTGGGGGAACACTGCCGGAACAGTAATGTCTCTTTATCACAGTCGCGTCCAAATTCGGATTATTGTGAATGAGACTGAAATCAAGCTATCGAGAGAGTCTCCATGGATTTCTGTCTGCAGCAACACGCCCTAATCCCAAGCAGGGACATAATAACGGAAAATCATGTTCTGTTTGATTCTAGGCCAATCTGTTTACTACAATCGTGCATACTTGAAAGTACAACACATCTTCCACGCGGGAGAAGACAGGTCATTCCGGGATAACTATTATTATTAATATCAGGAAAACAATCAATATTTTTCCGTGACCATAAAAGCCCCTAAAGCAACCAGAGATGAAAGCCAGCGAAGTTTCCTCCTTAAGCATGAAAAGTTGACAGTGTTAAAATGACGAGAACAGGTGAGGTCTTTATGAATTACTGGTAGGTGTCAGCTGGCTGTTAGGAAAGGGCGTGTGTAGGTATGTCGGAATACTAATCAAAGCTAGCATCATTTAAAATCGGAGTCATGCTGGGCATTGGGTCTTCGTTGGTACCGAGCAGCTCATGAGAAATAACCATGCAAGAATTGAGAATGTCATTCGAGAGCAGCAGAATGTGCTTAATAAGGTGGTTTGGCCGTCTCTGTTGCACAAGTTACCCCGTGGGTCACAACAAAAGAGAAGCGGCATTCGAATCAATGCTGCTAATGCATTACCCTATTCATGGTCCTGACTTTCGAGTTTGGAAGGAATGCTATGACGGCACTACATACGGTGGTTCTGATAAACATTTTTTAATCAACTACGTTCCGTACGTCGTCACTAGGCTTATGGCCGTCCACGACCTTCATCTTAACTCGGTTTCTGTAAAATGAACTGAATGCCAATACAGAAATGCTGATGGAACCCTGATTTATAAATCCGGAAGTTTGAATATTCAAAATTCTCTTGCCGTGATGGACAAACAGGATTGTGATTCCTATTACTCATATTGTAATGGATTGCCTCTTATGTCGTCCCGTGAAGCTGATTGAGTGACCGAATTGCAATCAAAAGCTCTAAACGATTGAGACAGCGAATGTACAAAACTGCCAACTTCCATGACTCTAAAACGCAACTTGTGGCTGTTCTGCAACGGAAATGCGAAATTCCCAGTCAGCGTGTTATCCATAAGTCAGGGAACAGGAATAGTCTGTTTATGTTGCGATGTGGAACAGCCGGAAATAGCCAACAAAACCTGCTTCGACAAGCCAGTAACATAAGCTGGTCCTATAAATTGGTTACATGCGTATTTCACTTCTTGGTATATTCAAATCAGTTGATCTAAGCGGCATTCATATAAATCATAGGTTTGGTTTCCGATTTGATGTCACCTGAAGGGTAAAATTCATCATACATCGTGATTCCGTTCCCCGGGGGTGATGAAAAAATGAGATTGTTGGGATATCCAGGGATGTTTAGTCGTTTTTTAGGTCATTTGATTGTATTCAATATTGTATCCAAAACGGATGCTTTGCCGACTGCCTATTAGAATGCTTGGATAGAGATTTCTTATGATATCCGCGAAAGAACCATGCCAATTTTTTTTGGATTCAGCGTTTTGATCTCACCATTTGTAAAAAATGCTTTTCTACCACACATTGGGAAATTTGAATCCCGTATGTCCCAGAAACAGCTCCAATGTCTACCGCAGGAGAATAATAGCAACCCGAAGCTACTAACTTCGAGTGAGCTGGAAAATGGAGTTTGAATTCGTGGACAGCTGAAATGTAGTGACAGTCTGAAAAATTGGATTATTGCATCCAGGTTGGTTGAAAATATGTTCTACAGAGTCGTCCAGCAGACTGCGGTAAATTAAGGCTTGAAAAGCTTCAATATAAAGTGTCCCAGTGCTGAAGCACAAAGGCTAAGAAGCCCCGCACGATACTGGGCTCGGGCAAAGACATATGGAGCGGCAATGAACGGTCTGCGCTTGCATCCTCCTGGACCGAGTAGTAGAAACGAATTAGTCCACGGAAGCAAAAGCAATACTTACAGAGCGTATGTTGATTTGGCACGGACAAATTTGAGTGCGCAGAGTTGCATAAAGGAATAGGTGTGTTTGGTGAGTGTTGAAAATTCCAAGCGCATGAACACGAAATATGGACGGAAATACTGGTCATGCTCAACAGTGCTTAGGTGTCAGCTACCTTAAGTGATAAGACAGATTAGCAGGTGAGAAAAAAACTAAGCCATCAGATCTGGATTGCCAGACAAGAAACCTTAGTGTTTAGCTCCCACCGACTTTAGTTCACATAGCACGTACGCTGTTGAACATATTGAAACAAATTAAACAAAACACTCCGATTTCCGGGGAGTATTAGCGCTCGATTCACTCAAATAACTAACGAATTGAGCCGACATACATCAGTCTTTGGCCTATCAGAAGGAGGTGAGGTGAACTGATCTATGTTTGAAACGTCGATGAGTCTATGGTACCTCAAGTGGTCTAGCTTTTGTCCATCAAACGGGATACCGAAAAGTTTGACCCTGTTGCTGCCGTCTTGTAATTCATTCTGCATTTACTGTACCTGTGCTTGTGATCGATATATCTGAATCCTCATCTCTCCTGTCTTAGGGCTGAAAGTAAGACTATTAGAGAGGGAATCTGAATGTATTTTACCGTGTTTTTTTTCAGTTACATTATACAGACGCGAAAAATTTACCTTACCGCAAGCCATAATAGGCTATTGCCGCAGCATAATGAAAACCAGAGTATGCTGTAATGGGCAAAACTTTTCATTCTTGACACTACCCTTTGACGCATCAAGTTTTCTCACGGTAATCTGACCTATCTTGTTTGAAGTATGTCTAGGATAAACCACAATCATGTAGAATATCAATTCGTTCTTGAATGATGGGAAGGAGTGTTTTAAATGTTATCAGAAAATAGTGGTCAACTAAAGGAACACATCGTTATCCTTATATAGTTTGGTTAACAAGGGAGCTACAAAACCTGGAAGCCTCACTTTTGTTCTACTGTTCTCCGACTTGGATAGCCGGGTGCGCGCTGTCGAGCGCTATGAAATATAAAGGGTCAAAAAGTACGGTTGTACTCTAATCTATGCGTGTGCATTATTTATATGTGATTCCCCAGATAATTAGTTTTTCCCCAGGAACACATATGGATCCGTTGCTCGCAGATAACGCGTCTAAGGATAGGAAATGAATTATTCAAACAGGAACCTGGAGACAAACAGACGGGGGTTCAGAAGAGAATAACGACAAGTATAAGTTTAAAAAAATTCCTTGAACATATCAGTAAGAAGCAACAAATCTGGACTCATATACTATACCTGCGTGAGCTACGGTGATCAGAAACAACCATGCAACCATGCTCTAAACATCAGGTTTGAATTAGGAGGCTTCGTTTTCACGGTTTTCCTAAGCTGTGTTTTCGGTCTCCTCACAGATCACGAACGTAAAGTCACTTTTTATTCTAGTTCCAATAGCAGACCTGGTATAATTAAATGGACATTCCTAGTGCGTTCATAACAAACTCAGTTTCCAACCATTCTCGTCCGACAAGTAATGTGGGATTGCAATT